AGAGGCCAAAAACACCATTCGTTCAAATTCATATATATATATATATATATATATATATATTTATATATGTGTCCGTTAGCGCGATAACTCGAGCAAAAATGATCCGATTTTGATAAAATTTGGTACAAACGTGTAAACCTACGTTTATTCAAACGAGTTCGCGAACCAGCATGATCGGACCATGGGAACGGGGGTTTATGGGGGCTTTTATGGGGTAAAAATAGGTTTTTCCCATTTTTGACCCAAAAAACATAAAATTTTGCAATTTCTTTCTAAACTATTTTGTAGAGCTTAAAAAAACAAATAATTTAGTATATTGAAGCGTTATAATGCGCCTATCGGTTACGGAGAAAATTCCAAAAAATTGTAAATTTAAAATTCCTATGTTATTCTTATGGAGAATAAGTAAACTGTTGTAGTTTGCTTGTTTATTAACATATTTTGCCCAAATTTGGAAAATGTTTTTATTTCTTACTAACTATTAACATTTTACATAAAAAAACACTTTTACCCTCCCTGTTGCAGCAAACCTAAGTATGTGTTTTAACTCATTCTATTTAAATAGGGAATAAATGTGATATTTTTAAGGAGTCATTTTAGTGTAAATCCAATCAGGCAAATGGAAATTCGCTTAGTCTGCAGGTTTGCTGCGGCGGGGGTATTTTTTTTTCATTTATAATCGTTATCATAGACAACCTAATGCGGCTATGAGAGGGGGAAATTTGTAGAAAACACTAAAAAAACAAGATCATCTTTTTGAAAAAAGATAAGATTACAAAAGATTTTGATTATTTCCAACTGTTGTGTAGATCGTGAGTATTTCCATAATCTTTGAGTTGCCTGTAATGCTTCGCAATTGCTCGAATTCGAGCAACAGGTACACTAGTCTATTAATTTGAAACTGTTTTTCTTTGTCATAGCTATTTTGAGAGAACGGCTGGGCGTAGAAACTCGGTAGGGGTGTCTAAAGAAAGGTCTTGGTCTGTAGATGAGCCATCAAAAGAGAAACGTGGTAAATTCCCTCGGGGCTCTGCCCCAGTGGCCTTTAAAGTCCCATCCCATGTTATTCTTATGGAGGAAAACGGGGTTTTTGTCGCAGCTAATTTGAGAGATCGGCTGGGTGTAGAAACTTGGTAGGGGTGTCTAAAGAAAGGTATTGGTCTGTAGGTGAGCCCTCAAAAGAGAAACTAGGTAAATTTTCTTGGGGCTCTGCCCCAGAGGCCTTTAAAGTTCACTCAGCAATTTTGTTTACATTATGACCATATGGATAATTTTACACTACTTTTAATGAACCAGCTGTTAATATTAAAATTGTATTCAAAGGTCTACTGAAATTGTCAAAATTAAATGTTTACATTATTATTTATGATTTTAAATTGATTCTCCACTGCATGGCAAGTTTTTTATAGTTTCAACAAAATGATGATTTTATGATACGTTTTAAATGTTTTGTTCAAAAATCTATGCTGTATTGCTCTTAGAAAATTGTAAATTATGAAATAAGTGTGACATATCATTTTCAAAGGAACATATAATTATTCCTTATCGGGTTAGCTTATATATATTGTAAGGTTGGAACTTGCCTTTTTTCCTACTTTCAATCACCACTTATTTTTGAATTAATTCAAGAAAGAACACCAGAAATTCATTTATTGGTATGACAGTTTTCGATAATCGGGTTGAAAATTGTGTCAAAGATGAGTAACTTGAGGATGAGAGTTGTGTTCAAGTTTTGGAATAGACTAACTACGGGGTATGTTTCATCTATGGTTTTGGTGAAGTAGGTGAACTAATGTCAATTCAGGTATTTAAAAAAAATGTGTAGGCCTACAGGGTTTTTACTTTGATGTACACATGTAGCTAGGTCGAACAACGCATCTAAACCTCACTACATACAAAACATTCGGAAACACAACAGTGTCATCACATCTCATCGCATTTGCATAATTTGTTACCAAGGCTGGACTAGGTTATGGATTTGGTTCCGCAAATGTTCAAGATTTGTGATCAAATTTCCTACAATTATGGTTCATTCCATCCTCGAAAAACATGCACAGCTTTATGTGGTCGATATGGCCAGGCAAAACTACCCCACAAGTTAATGAATTACAGTATCAAGTAAGAACAGGATGATTAAATACATGGGTCGATGTGGCAAGAGAAGGAATTAAAATTGCTTAGATCGAAGTAAGAATGTTACTGCTATCTGGAGAATCAGATATCTTTATCAAATACAAAAAAAAAACTTATTTAAATGCTGAAAAAATTCTGTATTTTTATGACCAAAGATGAAGATTTACTTATAAATCTGGATTCAATCTGAATGATTTTTCTAAAGCAGATGGAATTAGTTGTTAGTAATAAATATTGACTCTTTCCGTAACATGGTAGACTAATTATATGAGCTCATTCTCCCATATAGTGAAAGTGGCTTTGACATGAAACAAACTCATGAACAAACAATTATAAAGACTCCTAAAAAACCTTTTGGGCAACCTAAATCCGATAAAAAGGTAGGAAATATTGTGTTAAACGAATTCAACAATCACGTATTTTAGGGAACACAATCGTCATACTTATTATTATGCTTATCCTCCCTTTATTTAACTAAGATTTTAATGACTTCACTCTATCTATCGCAGTTAGCTGAATTTACATAAAACCGCAAGATTAACCGTCGATTTCGACGGGGTTCCACTAGTAAATGGTGAATTGGATTTGATATACGAGTTGGCTTGTCTGTTTTAAAGGAAAACAATTAACCGGGCTATATTATTTCACAAAATACAACGGGCGACTTTGTTTGTTTTAAATCACAACAAAAACATAAACACGCAAAACATTGTTTATTATTGTTACTGTTAAGAGCAAAGTACTTTATGTCCAATTTGTGACACAGTACAATGCAAAACTCATTTGTTGCTTTATTCTGCCTTGTTAAAACTTTTAATACATAGCCTATAACGCATTTACATCATAATGCACAGTATAAGGTTGGTGAAATTCTTCAAATAAATAGCTCGTTTGATTAACCAACACAACTTATTGACCACTTTTTTGAATAAGGGAAATCAATAGTTGCAAAGCCGAAGTTTCAAAGTCAACAAAGTAGACTTTCAGTCATCAACCTTCGCTGGGTCAACGGTCTTTACATCACATGAATATCAGCATCAGCCCTGCAGTGGCAGTGCAGCCAACATGATGCAGTTGATTAATGCAAACACCCTGCGAGTAAACAATCGCTATAATTGTTTACTCAGTTTTATAACGAACTGCGAGAAATTGTTTTCGGAATTTGTGTCAATACTTTCCTTCCATATAATTGACTTTAGAGTAATTTTTAGCTTTCTATTACCATGTTACGTGGTTGCCTATCATAAAACAATGTGGGCAATATTTGGAAATTTTAAAAGTTTATGTTTGTAAATTTAAAATACCCCCGCCACAGCGAACCTGCCAACTAAGCGATTTTTTTGTCTAAGTAGTTTTTTAATTAAATCTATTTAAATATTATTAGGTTTAACGAGTACTGTACCTAGGTTTGCTGCTACAAGGAAACTAATAAAATGTGTTTTTTAGTAAAATATTAATATTTTAGTATAAGATAAATTCATATATAAACCCGGACGGACACATATATAACTCTCTCTCTCACCCTCCCTATGTACAAATATAAATTAGAACGAATGGTGTTTTTGGCCTCTGGGGACATTAAAATGGAAAAGTATTTGATAAAACTCAAAGCATAGTTTACTACCAAATTGGTGGTTCCAAGGGAATGTAAATGCGTATCCTACACTAAATAATCCCTTCAGGAAGAACCAACAAAGAACAGTCATTAAAGAACCAAACAAGAACAAACAATGGTCTCGTGCGTATATTCAATGTTGACTTTTGGAAACACAACACGTTTCCATACAACAGATAAATAGTTAACATTTTGGTAGTTATTTTTACGGCAACTTGAATATTTTACGTTAACTTATTGTACACATTTCTCCCCTACTTTATAGATTGTATGTATAGATGAAAGCTTAGCTTACCTTTCCTTTACCAAACAATATATTCAGGAATAAACCCACTAAGGGCTGTCACTAAATGTACAATAGTTTGAACTTTAAAAGGTGTGTTATAACATAGCAAGGCATATTTAAGTACTAAATGACTTGTTACATATTTGGAAGTTATTTTTGTGGTTATACGTATATTTGGTGACATCAAAACTGCTTGTAGAAATAAAGAAGACTGTGGACCAGAGGCCAGACAAATGTAGGCAATATTTCAACCCCATCACTCTTAGTTTTGGCTTTTGATTTATCCCCCACACTGTCATATGACACTGACGATTGTTTGTCCAGGCAGTCCAGTTTTTCTTTTGGATAATATCATACATTTTATGATTAAATGTGTTAATATATAGTTTGTGGAGAGGCCTTATTATGCTATTGTAAACGTACTGCACTTACTAACTTATTTGTTACTTTTCACTACTTAAACGTGAGAACCCAGCTACGATACGATACCCAAGTTACGATTTAGTTCACAAAAACGAACGGAATATTTTCGTGTGTGATGTGTTTTTAGTAATAGTTCCAATTGAAATTTATTTACTACCTTAAAATTAAGTGATTGATTTTCACTCCTTGTAGCCCAAAGATGGTCCAGAACCGAAACGATTCGTCACTACAAAACCAACAATCCATTATTTTTTTAGGTATTCAAACGCTTAACCCTTTAAAAGCATAAAAAATAATCTGGCGGCTATACAATTATTTTGAAATAGTCTAAACGAGACCAGCATGAAACAGGCTTCAAAATTGTAATTAGGATTACTGTATATAAGTCAATTAATTGCTATACACTCTGTACTATAGCCACTTTGATTCACAGTGTATGAATGTGACGCTACCTGCTGCCCCATTGATATCGTCGGCGCATGAGCACCTGGCGCAGCTCCGCGCCGCGACGGCTAGTGTCATATTGCCGCCGACCCTGCCAGCGCCCCGACGCCGCTGTAGCCTCCGCGCCGCGAATATGACGGCCCTCGCGGCCTACACCATGTTTGTGTGCGGACTGGCGGTCGTCGTGTGCTCTTGCTCCGACAACTGGCCAGGGGAGAGTGCGGGTAAGTTTAACATTATTTTAAGAATATTTCTGAAAAAGAATAAAAGGGATTTTTATATAATTTTGAAAGATTGTTGAAGTAGTTGGGCTGTTAGTTTTATACAATTTAGTAAGTATAATCATACAACGTAAAGTTAAAGTTTTGCCTGGTGTGATGAATACATTATTTATTTATAAAAATATAAAACTAAGCTCAACCAAAAAGTAGACTAATAATTTTAATTAGAAAGCATTGAAATATTAAGGATAGCCTATAAAATTAATAAAATTTCATTAGATGTTTTAATAAATAATATGGTAATGAAGCTTATAAGATATATATATGTGACAGCTGATGTGGCTAACTTAAAAGTTGTTTTGAGATTTTGTTCCTACATTTTTAATGAATTTGAGATATTTTCAGAGTGTTTTGGTGATTTTGAATGTAATTTCAGTTAAATTAGTGAGTTTGTGATGTCCGGATGTATAAATCTTTTTAAGTGAATTCAAACCAAGTTCATAGTTTTAAGTTGAAGTTTGTGTTTAATTTGGGGTTAGGAAATCAAAATTAAAATATCTGTAATCTTTTGGTTACTAGGCAACATGAAAATAATGCATTCAAAAATTTCTTTTGGTTCTCTCATAAGAACAATACTGATTATAGTACTGGTAAAAATATTGGTTTCAATCTGTAGACAAGAAACCATACATATTTCTCTTAAAAATATTCATCCCGAAATTAACATGAGATGTATATACTTCCAAATTTCAAATGATTTTTCATTAAAAAACAAAATGTTAGATAGAACAAAGAACAGAAAAAATAAATCTAAATGGAAAGTTATTTGGCGATCACTTAACCTAAAGCTTTATGTATCTTACTTCTTTTTGATTAATTTGATTCTTTTATGTGGAGACATAGAAGAAAACCCTGGGCCTGAAAATAGCAATGATGTATCAAAAGAAGAGTGTCCGTTTTGTAAAAAACATTTTTATAGACTTAAGTCTCATATCAAGGCAACTCATGACAATTATTATATAACAGAATCAGATAATTTAAGAAAAAGTAGAACCAGAACCTGTAGTTATAGTTCCACAAAATTGTGGTATGAACTTAGAGACTTCGAGATAGACCTTTGGGCATCAAATTGTTTGCAGCTACCCCTAAATTGTGTATTTATTCCTCAAGCTGTAGTACATTTGCTGCGTGTGGGAAGCGAAAGTTTTGTCCTTAAAACAATCAAAGATGAAATGAAATTGTCAAAAAGTGAATTTATTTTCTTAATAATAAATAATAAAACTAATGAGGAAAAGGAGAATGCTTGTCATTGGTCTCTGTTGATCTGTGACGTATATAAAAACACAACATATCATTTTGACTCAAAATCTCCATCCAACAGTCAGATTGCCAAGAAAATGACCGAAAGACTGAGTAAATGCAGCTTGGGAACTGATGAGATTAATATGTTAGAAGTAGATTGTCTTCAACAACGTGGAAGAGTTGAGTGTGGTGTGTACTGCCTACATTTTGCAAAAATTGTTTGTAACAGAATAATAAACAATAACTTAACCATATCGGACAAGATGTATAAACAGGATTTTCTTGTAGGTAATATCTATAATGAAATTGAATGTCTAAAAAAACAGAGTTTAAATGTCCCTAATAATAAATGTCAAGCAACTAAGATTAGAAATAAATCGTTGGAAGGCATAAAGCAAACCTCAGTTGAAGATCATAAATTTAAAAAAAGTGAGGAATGTAACAGTAAAGTAGATCAATCAAATGATCAAACTTGTGGCGAATGCGGAAAACTCTTTAAAAGCAAAAAAGGATTATCTCTCCATATTTCAAAGAGCCACCACAATAAACATCGTGATATAATTCTAAACAAGTATTGTCCAGAAAGCTCAAAAACACAGTCTCCAGACAAATTGGATGATAAAACAAACAATATGTCAAGCAAAGTAAATAGCGAAAGTGATCGCATAAACAAGGATCTCGATTCTTGGTTAACAGTCTTCAATTAAGAACAAACACACTTTGAGTTATTCTCTGAAAATTTTGATAAGTTTTCCAAGTTTTTATCTCACGCTTTACACAATCTTCCTGGGCCTAAACATCCTTCTTACAGGTTTTATAAATTAAGGAAAAAGAAACAAGACTATCCTCAAAATAGTAATTATAAGAAATCATCCAACCCAGAAAGGAAAACTAAAAACGAAAGGAAAAAGAGAAAATAAAAGTATGAATATGATCTGATCCAATTTGAATACTATAATAGGCGTAGGAAAGCTGTGAGAAGGATAATCGGAGACGGTAATAAAGGATGTGAAATTGATCTAAAAACATTACACGAAGGTTTTACCACACGTTTCTCCAATCCAAATGAAAATATGAAAATGTCATATAACAATGTGGAAGACACAATAGTGAAAGACTTAGATTCGCATTATAATCAAAAAATTACTGTAGAAGAAGTCGTGAGAGCAATAAATGCAATAAAAATTGACACTTCTCCGGGACCTGACAATATATTAATGAGAATTGTAAAACTTAAGAAAGTAGCAAAGATCCTCTGTTCAATTTATAACACGATACACCTTACAAACCAGATACCTTCATCATTTCAAAGAGCACGAACTATTTTAATTGATAAAGGTGGAGACAAAAAAGAGGTTAATAACTGGAGACCAATCACAATATGTTCTGTTTTAAGGAGGATATTAGAAAAAATATTGGACAAAAGACTAAAAGAATATATCAAATTTAACCAGTTTCAAGGAGGTTTTTCTAATACCCCTGGTTCCCATCTTAATACAAGTATTCTAAATGAGGTATTGAGATCAGCAAAATCAAAGAAAACCGACTGCTGTATTATGTTTCTGGATATTGAGAAAGCGTACGACAATATCGGCCATAACCACTTATCCTCAGTCTTGCAGGAGCTACCTATTCCTAGGAAACTGATTGAAATAATAATTAAACTCCAAATAGGCAATGTTACAAAAGTTGAAACTCATAGAGGGAAAACAAAGGACATCAAAATACAAAGGGGTGTAATGCAGGGATCTCCATTGTCACCCACTTTGTATAACCTATGTATTGACCATATCCTCTCTGAAATGTCACAACATGCCGTAAGTGAGGAGCTAGGGTATAAGCTATGCAAGGACATGCCTTCTCTAAGTATTCTAGGATTCGCTGACGATACCATTTTAATTGGTAAGAATAGAGAAAGTGCTCTCTTATTATTCGATTCGATTTGTGACTTCTTCAGAGAAATTGGATTAACTATAAATATATCAAAAACTAAAATTATTAACATTGAAAAAGGTAGATTACAAGAGGAAAACTTCCAAATATGTTCAAAAGAAATAAAATCTATAACATTTAATGAAAAAATTAAATACTTAGGAGTAAATTTTTCTGAAAGCATAGTATTTGACTCTGAAAAAACAATTAGTTCATTGATAAACAAAATTGAAAAATTAACATGTTCTCCTTTTTTAAGGTCTGAACAAAAAATGTATGTATTGAATCATAATATTTGGCCATCTTTAATATATCCTTTTCAAACCGCACCAATTAAGAAAATTACAATGAAATTCTTTGACGATGTTGATAAAGTGATAAGATCAACAACAAAGGAAATCTTAGATCTTCCAAATGATATGCCAAATTCTATGTTTTATACAAGTACTAAAAACAAAGGGATTGGGTTATGTAAATCAATGTGGGAATCATCAATCCAACATATAAACATATGTCGCGTATTAAAACAAACGGGAAACCCCTACTTACTTAATATTCGTCAATTTGACGAAGAAATTAGGTTTTGTCTGGAAAAATTGAATTTAAGTATTGAATTTATTGAATCAAAACCCAAGATACTGCGAGAAACCTTACGAGACTTAGAGTATAAAAATTGGTGTAAACTTCCATACAAAGGGAATGGGGTGGTTCTTTTCAAAGAATGTAACAAGATCAATAAAAATTTGGCTAGAGGATGTGGCCTCACAGAAGCTGAGTTCAAACAATACTTGAAAATGGTCGGAGACGTTATTCCTCTTAGAAGTCTTCATGGGAGATCCAGGGACGGGAACCAGTGCAGGCATTGTCCTGTATCTGAGAAATTTACTCTTGAAACTCTTGCCCACGTCCTTGGAAAGTGCCCATTTAGTAGTCTTCTACGAAATACCCGCCACCATACCATCAGAAAAATCATAGCTGATCAATTCAGAAAGAAAAGTTACGAGGTCTATGAAGAGGTCACGGCTATAGAAGAAGAGGGCTCTGTGAGGCGGAGTGACATCATTGTTATAGACAAGGAGAAAGATTTCGGTCTCATTATAGACCCAACAGTTCGTCTTGAGACAAATGAAAATCAGCCACAGGAAGTCCATGAAGAAAAAGTAAATATTTACAAGAAAACTATCCCATATTATTCAGAGAAATATAAAATATCAAAATTCGAAGTATATGGACTACTCATTGGATCAAGAGGAACAATTCCTGAACAAGTTGAGAAATTTTGGAAGAAATTCAAGTTGGAAAATCAAGTGCTATATTTAATATCTTTAACAGCCATAAAATTTTCTATTAATATTATAAGAAACCACCTATATAACAACTATCATAATTAGGTTTAATCAAACTTGCAAAATTTAATGTAATATTATTCTTTGTTCTACAGCAGACTACAATGTGTAGTAAGATTTCAATTTTTTAAATAAATTTGAATTTATATATTGCTAATAACAAAGATTAAGTTATGATGGTGTTTCTCTGTTGTTGTTCGTTTAATGAATGAATCAGTCAAGCTGAACTTCTAATTGTAAATTTTGTGTAACATATTTCCTAACTAATATAGAATACTCGTATATAAATGATGATATAATGGAAATGATCCTTTCATTGAAATTATAATGTTTTCAAAGGTATGATTTAATTATGGTTGTTGTCAGAAGCTGTTGAGAAATTAGTGTTGCTTATTTTAAATACCATCTTGATCAGCATTGTAC